ACAGAAGGGATATGGAAAGGAGAAAGTATGAATACAGTAGGCCAAGTTTATGGAGTTGGCTCTTCATTCTGGATATTTTAGTGAAATCCCTTTGAGCATTGTTACTAAGTTTGTTGAACATTCATAAGTAGTCTAAATTGAGAGAGAAAAGCTGGGCTAATGTCTTTGAAACTAATGATTCAGCTGTGCAGGTTTATCTGTTCCAGTGCATTTGTAGTGATAATCCCTTCTGCAGATGCACAGCCGCCTTGCGACTTTCTGGGTCCCCTTTCTTGTGACTGGAGTCATCCCCTCTCCAGTACAGTATGATGTTTTCTTGATCTTCTCCCTGAAATTTTTTTTCAAGTAAGAAAAATACTTCTGGATATTTTGTCTGCTTTTTAGGGATTAGTGTTTGAGGAGGTTTGCAGCTGTTCAGCACATTCCTAAGGGATGCAGACCCTTGGCTTTAAATGCCCAAGTATTACACAACCTGGGGCTCTGGGGGCGGGGAAAGCAAAGACACTGTGCAAACAAATGATAGATGGAAAAGATATAAAGACAAATTTCAATCTCCCAACCAAACGAAGTTCCCTTGGCTCCAGCGGCCCCAAATAAAATAAGGCTGCAAAGCTGCTAGAGCAGGAAACCACTCTCACAGAGCCTTAATATGCTCCCTATGAAATCACGTCTCGTTGACTTGCTTATTTTCCAGCCCAAAGTGTGTTTCGAAGTGTGTTTCATCTTTGTTTGTGTTGGCTGGGAAAATTGCCTGTGTATTTGCGTTTCCCTTTCCCCACATTATCTTCACCTCTCCCACCCCACTGCCGCCCCAAAATAAATAAGTGAATTAATTAAAACACCTCAGTGGAAAGGAGGAGTGTGTCTGAGAAAGCATACAGACTCAGAGAACCTGAAATATTGAAAACTAAAAGGAAGCTTGGGAACCCCTAGAGGAAACAGGCAAGTTCTAATGTGTGTGTGTGTGTGTGTGTGTGTGTGTGTGTGTGTTTAAATCATAGACTACTTTTGTAAAACAAAATTCTTGCATAAAACTTAAATATATGAAATAGATCAAAACAGTGGAATTTTTTTTTTTTTTTTTTGCAGTACCAGGGATTAAATCCAGGGCCTCGTGCATGTAGGCCCTGTAAATCCAGGGCCGTGTGCTTTACTGGATCTACTTTTAAAGCACACATTTATAAAAACCACTTATTACAGAGTCAATCACTGTGAACAATGAGGCTGTGCTTATGAACTAAAAATATTGAAATCAGAGTTATGAATAAGTATTATAGTTTTTGTATCGGTTTCAGTATCCAAGTTATTTCTGGTTTTGGTTTGAGTTGTTCACTACCAAGAAAATTCTTACTCACACAGAGTTATTATAATCTTGAGATAGTTTTAAATTGATTCAGGTGCTTGAAAAAAACAATCTTTGTTTTAAAATTGAATCACTGTCAGGCACGATGGCGCACACCTGTAATCCCAGTGGTTTGGGAGGCTAAGGCAGGAGGATCATGAGTTCAAGATCAGCCTGAGCAATTTAGCGAGGTTCTAAGCAACTCAGTGAGACTCTGTCTCTAAATAAAATAGAAAAAGGGGATGTGGCTCAATCGTGGTACAAAAGAAAAAAAAAAGAATCTCTAACATTACCTACCAGCTCTTCCCATCCCCCTTCATAACTATTAATTAGATAAGCCCCAACATGTATCATTAGCATTGTGTTAATTGATAATGAAATGATATGATATTGAGAAGATTGATTCTCACCAACCCTCCATGATCTCCCATGAACCCAATTGTCAGCTTTCTGTGACACATAGTTGAACTTGGTTGATTGTTGAGTTATGTGCTCACCTGTACAGTCTTTTCTAGGGAGGCACACACAGGCTTAAATGAAAAAGAAATAAGCCTGTGCAGAGCTACATCCATTCGAACTAATAGCATATTGTTTAGAAGTTCCATTGCATGCAGTGATTCTTTGTTCTGAGGCTTTCATACATAGAAGCTCTCCTAGTGGCCTAAGAGACATTTCAGTGTTGTCTAAGTCGGGGACCTGGGTCCAGGGGCCTTGTTCATTTTAATGGGATTGCTCATTTGTATGAATGTTTTACAGTTTTAGTTGAAATGTGATTCTCTGTTAATTCCAGAGTTTCTCAGAACACAATTTAAAAGCCCCTACTCAGTGAACCCAATCAATCATAATAGCTGTTGCACTATATATGATAGCAAGGCCCTGAGTTCCACCTCCCAGCATCACCAAAAAAAAGTTCTCAGTACACTTCATAGTCTTAAGTGACAATGCATTTTATTTTAAAAAGTTCCCCCTTCAATGTATCACCAGGCTTACAAGGCCAAGCTCTCCCACTGAGCTACACCCCAGCCCCCACCCATCATGCTTGCTCATCCTTTCTTTTGAGGGTGCTTGGGGATATAAACATACATATTGGAGGCCTGGGGCTGTATATCTTGCATTCTTTTTTCATGATTGACTTTGATTTCCTTGGATGGGTTTCTGCCTCTTGTGATCTGTGGTGCCCTGTTTGTGAGCTAGCTGGCTCTTTGTTTAACTCGCCAATATTCTTACTAGAGGTTTTTCTCTGTTTTCCACACTGCACTGGGACATTGGTGCCTTTATAACCACTGACACTCCTAATACTGTACCTTGTTTATTTAAGATACAAATATTTACACATTTGTGGAATTGAATTAAAGCATCATGTTTGCATTCATAAAGCACAGTATGGATTCCCAACCCACATTTTCCTATAAGAAGCAGTTTGAAATCAGTTGTAAATTTAAGGTCTTGTGAGATCTGCCCTAATTTTAAAAAGCAAGTGTAATGGCCTGGTACATTCTTTGCTTCCCGAAGATGTGGGTATCTTGCCAAGAGAAACCACTTGATAAAAATGTGAAGTAGATTTTGGTGGTTTTTTTTGTTGTTGTTGTTTTAGAATATTGTTAACTAAACTGATTTGGAATCAATTTGAGAGGTTCTTTGCAATGGAAACATTGAATACATGTGTTTAAATTTCTCACTATTTGATTTTTGGATTGTTTTCTGTTGACCTTTTTTTATCCAGATGCTAAACATTTTTAGGAGTGAATTAATGATTTTTATCTCTCCCTCTGGCTAGTGTATTTTAAAATTCCCATAGAAATCTTAAAAATTCCCTAGAAAGGTAATTGACATAATGTCACAGTGATTGGCATGTAAGTGTTAAGTTATTTTGTCTGTGGATGTGTGATGCCTGGGGTAGGGAAAAGGACAAGTTTAGAACAGTTTCAGATGAGACTCTAAAGTTCTTTGGTTTGAAGCAACTTTTTAGATATATTAGACAGATATTTGACTTGCTGGTCTTGTGTATATGTATATATATGCTGGTCTTGTTGTTTTGTTTTGTTTTGGGTACCAGGAATTGAACCCAGGGGCATTTTACCACTGCTCTACATCCTCATCCCTTATTATTTATTTATTCATTTATTTTGAGAAAGGGTCTCACTAAATTTCTTAGGGCCTCACTGAGTTACTAAGGCCAGCTTTGAACTTGTGATCCTTCTGCCTGGGTCTCCTGAGTTGCTAAGATGATAGGCATGTGCCACCAAGCCTGGCTGGTCTGGTATGTTGTAAAACCTAAGAAGATATGGTCTAATTATGTGTTAGTAGTTATTACTATGGAACTGGACATTCCAAGTTGAACTCTCAGTTTTACAAGTCACAGTTGCCCATCTGCCTTGAGCCTTGATGGACCAAGCCACTCTCAACTCCCTTTCTTTGCATTCACAGACTGACTAGAGGGAGCAAGAGGGGATTGAGTACCCTGGGTAGGATTCTTTTGAGTGGTTAAGAGCACTCTTTACAATTATAGGTGTGCTTTTTGAACTCCTCTACTGCCACTTTTTAGCTGTGTGACCTGGAGGAAAGTTGCTTAATCAGATTTTTTTATTTGTTTGGTTGGGTTTTTGTTTTGGTCCACTTTTCCATCAGTGTTGTTAATAACACCCATCTCATCAGATAGTTGTGGTGTTTAAGTTAAACAATGTGTGTAAAGAACCAGCCATGTGCCAAATACTCATTATCCCTTGATAAACAGTATCACAAATTTTTCCTACTTTCTGTTTCTCTCCTTAAAGAAATCCAACTCCCAGATGCAGAAATTAGTACTGTTGCTTAAATTAGTACTGTGAGCTAAGTAACAGTTATTCTTTTGGATCACATTGTTTTTATTTGAAATGAGCAACTAGGTTTAGCACTTTGCCACTCTGGATCTGTGAATGTTTCAGGAATACTTATGTTCAGATGAGGTTTGTGTTTTTGGTTATATGGGAAATGAGGCCATGGTTCACTCAATGAAATCAAATCTATTTGGATGTGTTCCATGGAACTGAAGAGTGTTCCAGGACTTTTTTATGGCAGTTGTCTCTAAAGTTGTTGTCATTGTACCCTACAATAAGTAAACTTGTGAGGATTTAATTTGTAGTGCTCTAATGATTTTGTACCATCTAAGCCAGGTAACCTAAAGGCAAAGGTTATGGACTTCAGTGTCTGCAGAGAACTGTGGTTCTAGTCCCAGGCTATCTATTACTAACCATGCAATGGCTTGGGGGCAAGTGACAACCCCTCTGAGCTTTGGTTTTCTAATCAGTCAAATAGTGAAAATGGTAGTTCTTAGGATGAAACAGTAGAGCTTAAATGAGTTAATACATTTAAAGTTCTAACAAATTCGTAGAATATGAGTGTTCGACAAATAATCCTGCTTCTTTCTCTTTCTCTCCTTCTCTACTTTCCCTACCCTTTTTGCTCCCTCACTTCATGTTATTCTTATATTCTCTCTCTCTCTCTCTCTCTCTCTCTCTACTGGATTTTTAGAAAAAGAAAAAAGTAGTGATGCAACCTTCAGGAAAGACATCTTTCGGGTTTTGCTTTGATTTGTGGCATAGACTGTAATTGTATATTTGGCCCTGGCTGCTTACCAATATTTATTTATTAATTTACTTTTATTGCTGTTTCTCTGCAGGAAGGACCAGAATGTTCTTTCTCCAGTCAACTGTTGGAATCTCCTCTTAAACCAAGTGAAGAGGGAGAGCAGGGACCACACCACCCTGAGTGACATCTACCTGAATAATATAATTCCTCGATTTGTCCAAGTCAGCGAGGACTCAGGAAGACTCTTTAAGAAGGTACGTAGATATTCCTAGTTGGTGAGGTTCTTGGCAGGAGCAGTGACACAATCTTGTAAATAAGAGGAAGGATATCTTATTAGACTTTCCACTGACCATTCTTTGCTTCATATTCAGGGAGGAAAAAATAGTTGAATAAGCATTCTTTTCTTCCTTTCAGAACTAAAGTCCTGAGAGAGTTAACCATTGTAAAGTACAACCCCAGAACTGGCACCATCATTCATAATCTGTATGTTATTAATACTGTGTATGTTTTGGTGGTTTCCTCCAGTGATTTGTGACATGGTTGGGATTTAGGGGACCTCAGTGTTGCTTCATGTTTTCCTCTTCTAGCTCATTTACCAAATTCATGTGTGTTTGTGTTTTGGTTTTCGTTTTCTTTCCAAGTTCTCATCTTGGCCTAAGGTACGTATGAATTTGGTTGTTTTTATCCTGATGTATCTTTGTTTGGGGTCTCTTCATGCTTTCTGAGGCTCAGTTTTTATCACATTTCCTTGAGTGTAGGTTGAGCAATTTGACTAAGAAAACACTAAAAATAATTGTAATAATCTTAAAGAATTCCTGCTAAATTCACCTTTCCTATCAGTGGTGGAACCCACATCTTAGAAACCCAGGAACTCTTCTTGAGCTCTCAGTGGAGTCCTTTATTCATGAGGTTTGGTTACAAGTGGCAAAGGCCCCGACCATTATACACAGCATGCCATGCCTGAAACTCAATCTCTAATATCCCTAAAGACTTTCTAGAAGGTAAACAATCTTCCCACAAGTCACAGATAGAAAGAGGATGATATACAGAGCTATTTAGATTTCACTAGTTTCTGTTTGACAAAATCGAGTGTTAAGATTTGAGGTTGGCTGGGCGTGACGGCACATGCCTGCTATCCCAGTGACTCCAGAGGCTAAGGAAGGAAGATCTCAAGTTGGAGTTTAGCCTGAACAACTTGGTGAGACCTTCTCTCAAAATTTAAAATATTAAAAAAGAAAAAATAAAACAGGGCAGTTAGTTCAGTGGTAGAGCACTCCTGGGTTCTTTCCAGTATCACCAAAACCAAAACCAAAACCAAAAACCATACAGTGTTAATTAAAAAGAGGAAAAAAAAAAAAAAAGATTTGAGGCTGAGAGGGAGATGGCTGTGATAATCAGGATTGTCATTGAGATGGCTATACCTGTTGGAAGACTTTTTCAACCCTTAATGTTAGGAAGTTTTCCAGATTTCACTGAAATTAATACCCAATGTCTTCTGTATTAACCAGCCTCAAAAAGAACTGAGAATGACTACATCCATGAGGGGCTTTCCCTGTGTCGTAGAGACAGGATGCTGAGAGTACAATCATCTGAAAAGAAAAGAAGGAAGAGAAAGATTCTTCCTCTCATAGCTCACTTGCTATATTTACTGGCCTAGCTGTGTTTTAGCCAGGGCCACACTTCATTTAAGGATAAGGGTCCTTTTCAGCATCTCCATGGTTTCCAGCATCTGCTCTAGCTTGCTTTTTATTTATTTGAATTATTCTGCAACCTTTGGTGGGTTGTTCATGTGTGACTATAATGAAAACCTAGGTAAAATCTTGAGAGAAATAGGTTTTCCACAACCACTTAGACCACCATGAGAAGAAAAGGGGATGACTGGTAGCCTCCATTCTTTCTGTTTCTCTGAGAAAAAATTTCTGTGAGAGTTGTTTACCTAGCTTGATTTCACCTAGTCTTTCCCTGCCTTCTCTTCCAGCCTTAGAAGTGTAGAGAAGAACCAAGGTGAGAGAGTTGTCTAGACTCTCCAGATATCAATGATGTCTAAAGTGAAGACAGCCAGATGGCAAAGCCATTAGTGTTCCTGGATCCTTAAGAGCACATCCACATTTACTTCACCAGAGGCCCAAATGTATGGCACATATATGAGCCATGGGATGTATCACCCTCAGAAGAATAATCCACCCAAGAACCATATTCCTAGCCATGGTCTCAAGATTGATCTCTACAAGCGTGCATTTTTATGCTGGGGCTGTAATGAAGAATTTCTGATTTCTCCTAGGACTATTCATATATTACATTTCACTGAAGAGAAGTGCACGATCATAGGTTTACAGCTCAGTGCATTTTCACAGAGTGAGCACACCTGTGTAACAAGCTGTAGATGAAGAAACAGAACAATTCAGTGCCCCAGGAGTCCCCCACCCCTTATGCTCTATTCATCCCCACTTCCAAACCCCTAAGGATAACTACTGTCCTGACTTTTAACATCAAAGATTAGTTTTGCTTGGTTTCACACTTTATATAAGTAGAATCATACTATCAATATTCTCTGGGTCTGGTTTCTCTCATTCTCCATTTTGTGTACAGATCATAGGACTTCCTCTTAATAACTTTGTTTCGATTAAATTATAGTTGATTAGAGATACTCATAGGATTGTTGCATGACCAATGTTTACTGTCCCACAGGGTGATTAATTTTTTTTCTCCCTTGGGACTGCAAGTATACAGAGTCCTCTCAGAAGCTAGCTGATAGATCAGAAGAGAAGATTCCTTCTGGTTGGGCTGGGTGAGAGCCTCTTTGCTTTCTAAAAATTGGCAAAGAAACATTCTCCATACCCCAGTTTTTCAATCCCTTTTGTTTAGAATATGTTGCATTGGTTAAGACATAGTAATCACATAAGAGACCTAAAGAATGTGCCCAACCACCGTATTCATTTGGAGAAGCTTTTGGAGGCTTGCTTTGTGCTATCAGAGCAGAGATCTTTTCCAAGTGACCCTTTCTGTTGGACCTGGCTCTGCCATTAATGCTTGAGCAATTATGTCCTTGTATGCCTCAGTTCCCTAAACTTAAAAAAAAAAGAGAGAGAGAGAGAGAGAATATGAGTATACAGTCTCCTTGGTGCCTTCTAAATCCAATATTCTACAGTTCTGTGACAACAAGGGTATCTTCCTACACTGGGGCTTCCTTCTGGTTGTTGGATAACCATTGTTAAATTTTGATAGATAAATTGTAGCCCCAGAGATAGAACAAACAATAGAGAGGTGTGGGTGGGTTGAGGGCTATCTTAAGCAACTCAAGACCAAATTTCTTGAAGAATCAAGCATTGTTTCAGATGCTGTTATCTGTAATGACCAGCAACTAAGAGACGCCAGACTGGGATCCAAGAGTATACACTAGATATAGCTTTTGTTTTACTAGTAAATTTGGTTCTAGCAGCAAAAAGAAAATCTATTTCTCAGGAGACACAGGTTTCAGAAAAGATGACTTTATTTCTCTCTTGACAGTGCACATCTGTTCTTTATATTAATTGTCATCTAAAATTCAGTGGCCAAAGTTATGATAATATAAGCCAGAAGTTTTTGAACCCCTATGTGCCAGATATTGTGTTAAACATTCTTATGCATTATTTTTTAATCCTTACAATAATTCTGTAAGGTAGTTGCTATTATTATCTTTATTTTATTAAGGAGGAAACTGAGGCTTAAAGAGATTAAGCAAAAGTGGAGTGAGGCTAAAATTCAAATCCAGAACATTGGCTCTAAAACCCAGGAACATGGTCTATTAGGATGCTCTAGGTGTGGTGTGCAGGAAAAGGGTGGCCCAGGCATTCTTACTTTTTCTCATTGCATGTGGATATTTTACTTCGTTGTAGAATTAATCTAACATTTTGCACATGAACCTTCAAAAGGCGTGGAGGTGGCCAGGGCCACACTTCATGTAGGCATCTCCATGGTTTCCAGCATCTGCTCTCGTTTGCTGGTCAACTTTGAATTGTTTCTTCTACCTGGTATTGGGAAAGCAGCTGTGACTTGAAGTGAAATATGGCTGCATGCTTTTCTCCCCAGGGGCAGAGTCTCTAGTAAAAGGGAAACAAAGTCTCATTAAATTTGAGAACTAGCCAAAAAATCTGGCTCACAGCTAATTCAGCCAATTGAGGATCTCAGGGTGGCTGCACAATTGGCCCCTGTATGCTACTGTACTCCCTTAGGGGATGCTCCCTGCTGGCCCTCTGGTTTGTGGTTATGTCTTTTGGGACATATTTTGCATTTTACATGAAACTGTGTTGGAGATTCCTTTAGCTAAATATAACATCTGGAGAAAGTAACCTCCTGTTCAGAGCTTAGAAACAGACCCACTTTGTCCAGGACTCCAGAGAAAATTGAGCCCATTTGGTGCTCTGGACATCTCCTCTCATGTAATGAAAGCTCAGTCTGTCTGACCCCTGTTGGAAGCAAGGTTTGGGCAAATATTATTGCTGCCACCTCCATTTGTTTAATGTGGTGGCTTCAAAAACGGTGACCAAACACTGCCAAGTCTGATCCCCATGCCCATGTGGTCTCTGTGAGAAGCATGTTCTAAAGAATCCCACCAAGAACAGAAATAATTTTTCCCACTTGATCAGTTTAAACTGAAATGAACTTGGGGGCTGTTGTTTCCCACAGGGGAGAGGGCTATCCGGGCTCTCTTTTCCTCTTTTCCCTTAGTTGAAATACAGTACAAGTATCTCTGACTTTGCTTTTTCAACTTACTGTTTCTGGCCCTTGACAGCTGCTCACACTTAAGCTCAGAACCCAGTCAATTCAGACAGTTCTAAGACTCTCAGTTGCATCCTTGTTTTTACATTACTCCAGTTCACTGTACTCCTGTTTTACCTTTAATACTCTTAAGTTTCTCTGGCAGAAACTCAGGTTAATTTGAGAAAGTTAGATCAGGTTCCTTTCAGACTAGTAGTTCTCAACTTTACCTGTGCGTGAAAGTTACTTGCAGCATTTTTTAAAAAAAATTGTGATCGTGAATAGACAAAGATTTCTTAGAATATAAAAAGCATGAACTATAAAATTTTAAAAAGAGATAGATTGGACTTCATCCAATCATGGAAAGACATTGTTAAGAAAATGACAAACAAGCCACAGAGTGAGAGGAAATATTTGAACTATTTCTGTCAGTCTATTTTGTGCTGCTATAACAGAATAGCCGAGGCTGAGTAATTTATAAAGAATGAAGGTTTCAGCTAGGCATGGTGGTGTATGT